ACCGGCCAGGCCGCGCCCTCCGCCCCCTCCTAGCTCAGGTATCAGGTGAAACTGGTGGGGCTGCGGGAGAGGCGGCCGCGGCGGCGAGAGGATGGCCGGGCGCTGCGGGCTGTGCCTGCTGCTCCTGCTCTGCGCGCTGCTGGGAGCCGCTACTCCCGCAGGTGAGAGGAGGAGTGCGAGCTGCCGCTCGACGGCTACTAGAGCTCCGGCTCGGCTGGGGATGGCCGAGTCCTTCCTGCGCTCTGAGGGTGTCGCGTTGGTTGCTCGGCGCCCCTCGGCTGTGGGTTGGGGCTACGGGCGGTGGCGCTTCAGACGAGGGGTGCGGTGGGGCTCTCGGCGGGTGAGGCGCGGAAGGCGGCGGGGCAGAACCGCGCCGAAGAGTAGGTTTCTGGCTCCCGGATGGGGTGCGGGGAGCCCGGAGAGGACTGGGCGAGGTTCCCGCGGTGTACATCGGAAAACGCGGGCTGGTGGCTATGGAGCTCGGGGACAGTAGCTCGACAGGCAAGCAGGTGGTCTCGGCTTCCAGCCCCCTTTGGACTTCTGGGACGCACGGAGCCGGAGGGGAGGGCTGCGGGAACGCAGATCCTGCGCGGACTCCGCGGGAGCTACCTGTCACGCGTGGCCTGGCTTCAGCCACATCGGTGCTGTACCTCATCTGCTTCTCGGCTAGCAACCTGCCTAAAAGCTATATATAAACATAAAAAGACATTGAAGACCGTATTCTCGCTTATTTTCCCAACTCCGAAAAGTGGGAACTAAAAAAAACCCACCCTAATTCTTACCTTTGTTGGTTTATAGTATTGCTTATTGAACAGAAGCGCTGTTTGGGGAAAAAAAAAAAACAATCATGTTAATATTTCACTGCCTTAAGGTTCATCTTTCACTGTCTTTTATAGAATACCCCTCTGCCATATCTACGCATGCCTTTGCACTGTGTATTTGCTCATCTTGGACTTATTTACGTAATAAAGGTATAGGCATAAATTGAAGCCAAGCTTATGGTAGGTCTAGTTTTCTCAAAGAATAGGCACTAGATAGCTGTATATTCTGTTGTTCAAAGTACAGTTTCTGAAATTAAACTGCCTCTTAATAGCCTAGTTGTCTGACCTGGGCGGGGTTAGGAGTTTGAAATGGTGGTGGATGGGGAAGTAGTATGCTTAAGTTTTAGCTGGGTGCTTGATCTTCTGCAGTAGTGAGGTCAAATGATCTGGGAGTGTGATCCCGTCCCAGCCAAGGGAGATGCACTGTAAGCCATTACAGGGTTGGGGTGAATCTGAGCGGCAGATCCAAGAACCAGGATGATAACCTTAGTCCTGTGTGGATATTACTACCATGACCTAAGCTAGTTAATTTGGATACTCTGTGTTGCTGTCACTTTTGTGTCTGCAGGGGAGGCATAATCCTTCGTTTGGTTGGCAGTGGGTTGTATCTTCAAGACGAACGGTAAAGGTGTTGAAACTGTCTTTTGTTGTGGGAGGAGAGTACGTTTTTCCTCTCATGCCAAGGAGGCTTTTCCCGTGGGCGATTAGCAAGTCAACTGCATTCTCTGTATGTGAGTCAGCAGGGTGAAACTCGACATGGAAAAGAACTCAATTGTTATGGAAAACTGCAAGTGCAGAAAGAGTAAAAAAGGATGTAGAAAATGCACATACCTAACAAAGGATTGGTTGCTTCGTGAGGGAGTGTTAACTGCAAAGACAAACAGGACACTGAACTGTCTCACTATATGGGTGCCAGTTTGCCAGTTGGGATAATAAAAGCAGCCCAGTGTCTGCAGTCAGAACTTTTAAGAGTCTGAAACTACTTAAAGTCAGGATAAAAGCAAGACGGTCTCTGAAATCACCTATTTGACTTGACTTTGTCTTCAAAAACAGAATAAAACAAACCTATGTCTCTATTCTGTCGCTCTTGCAATACTTAGTCCTGTCTGTGGTTCATCTGTCCATCAATTCAGTTTATTATAGCTCTTCCTCTTAATGTGTCATGTTAACACTTTAGGGCTTTTTTGTGAGCATTTTTTATTTTTATTTTTTTCAGCCCAACCTATGAACATCAGTTGTAAAGCATTGCTTTATATCAGATCACAAAACATGGAGTGGTGGCATTTGTTCTTACAGTTTTGTGCAGTAATTTAAGTGTTTGGAATACAAATAGTGTGACTTGCAATTTGTATCAACTGCTTACTGATGGACAGGTGCTTAACGCAGTACTGTAAGCTTTATTACAGTACTCTGAGAGCTGATGTTAGCTTAGAATAAAGGGTGTGCTTCCAGGCATCTCCAGGATATTTCTCAGCTAAGCTATAAGCCCGAGAAAAGAGGCATTGCTTAGCTAATTACCATTTACGTTATCTGATACCTATGTAAGCTATGTTCTTCAAGCTGGTTTTATGGTTTCTATTATTTACAGCTCAGGTTAGGGACCTGGGGTTTCTGTATTAACAGTATTGCTCACATAATCACATGGCTTGAAGATCTGAGAGCAGGATTTGTATAATTCTGTCCTGCTGTAATTACATGATATATAGGCCAAAATGATTGTTTGGTATTTGAATATATTTTCTTTAGGACTGTTGTTTTGTTGGTTTAATTTAGACTTCAGTCTTCATGCAGTTTACTGCAAAGATTTTTCTTAAGTCATTGTACTGGCAGAAAGTTTTCTTACACCTCAGTTTTCCAATGAAGCCTGCCTGTGCCTGGAGCCGATCAAATACTTGTGGAGTGGAGCTAGGGTAAATTAATTCAAAACTCTAAAGAGCAGCAATGTATGCTCTTTAGGAGGTCACACAGTCTAGACAGGATTGTACATCAGACAGATGCTGTACATCAGACTTGTGCAGTTATAACTTGAACAGCTATCTAAAGTTGTGATGTTTTTGAGAATCTATATTGGAAAACACTTGTGTACTTACATATTTCTTGTATGATAATTGTTATACTTTAATATGTAACGTGTAAGCATTTTTCATTCTGGAACTATATCAAAACTATTGAATAACAAACGGGCCATCCTTCAACACTTCATGGCTTGCTGTATACAGACCTGTTTGCCCAAGATGACTCTCCTTTATACTCCAGTTGGGGGTTTGTGTGGCTAAAATAACCTGCAAATATTGATGGAAACTGAGATGTTAAAAATAACTCACAGACAGTCAAGTTCCATGTCCACACTGTTTGGTGGATGTCTGCCTTTTTGAAACAGTGCGAGTTCATGGACAGAACCTGCTTGTGCAGTTTAACCTCTTAGCATGAGAGGACTGCGTTGGGTCTGGAGGGGTTCTGAACTAAGTTGTGTGAAGGCTGTCATACAAGACAGAGCAGTCATACGGCTGGCTTGCCCATACAGTTCATAAGGTCCTGTGGCATTTGAAGAGTCAGAACAAAACTTGAAGTGATAGCTGCTTTGTATATGAAGCAACCATAGCTGTTATCTTTACCATCTGGCACTTTGAGTAGAAACTGCAGAGATTGTCTGACCATCTTGCTCATGATTTGGAAAGAAATCCCAGATGATTGGCCCTGTTGCATCTTATATAAGCATAAGTTATGCTTATATGCTTATATAAGCATAAAGTTAGTTTGTTCAAGTTTCAATTAACATACAGCGTAACACACATCTTTCTTTCACTAGAGATCAGTTGTGCATGACTTTTGGCATTAAATTCTGAGTTTCAGTTCTAGCTCATCTGAGGGCAGCATGTTGTTTTTTCCTGCATACCTGATTTTCAGACCATCTCAATTGAGGAAGCTTCTACTACAGCTGCATTAGCCTGCTGCAGAGTTCCTGCACTTGAGTAATCTGGCACTGCCATGGCAAAGAATAATGGTGCCTTGGGGTACCTGAAGCGGTTTCTGTTTTAACTTCAGATGGTGGGAGCACCTAACAGGCATTTTAATAAGGTATTTTTAATACCACTGGTGATGTGGAAAAGCACTTTCATTTGCTGCTACAACCATGAATAGGGGTATAGGTTGGCTTTTGGATAATAAAGGGTAGAAAACTTGTCAAGTGTTTGAAAACCATCTTAATGTTTCTGCTGATAAGGCCCTCTTTATTTCTTCAGAGTAAACCATGATGTCTAGTTTATTTTTAAAAAGGACAAAAAGGCTCTACTTCAGTAATGGCAACTTCTTATTTTTTTTTAATTTTAGAGAGTAGTGGAACCAGCAGTTCAAAAGGAAGAAGTTTTGCTGGCCGGAGGGATTCAACTACAAATAATGCCTCTGAAGAATTATATGCAGTGGATGAATTTGCAGCAAAAGCCCTCACAGGAAAGCTGACTACAGTTTTTCTACCTATTATCTATATCATTGTCTTTATCATTGGTTTGCCAAGCAATGCCATGGCCCTCTGGGTATTTTTTTTCCGAACAAAGAAGAAACATCCAGCTGTGATTTATATGGTTAACTTGGCATTGGCAGACCTTCTTTTTGTTGTCTGGTTCCCACTGAAGATTGCATACCATGTAAATGGTAATAATTGGCTATTTGGTGAAGGTCTTTGCAAAGTACTTGTTGGATTTTTCTATGGAAATATGTACTGTTCCATTCTCTTTATGACATGTCTCAGTGTTCAACGGTATTGGGTTGTAGTGAACCCTATAGTGCATTCAAGAAAGAAATCTGAAATTGCCTTGAGCATCTCCGTTGCTATCTGGATACTGATTTTGTTGGGCACCATTCCATTGTATCTTGTTAATCAGACTGTATATATTTCAAATCTTAACATCACTACCTGTCATGATGTTTTGCCTGAAAATGTTTTGGCTCACGATATGTTCAATTATTTCCTCTCACTTGCAATTGGACTCTTCTTAATCCCAGCTTTCCTCACTGCTGTCGCTTACATACTAATGATTAAGACTCTGAATGCTTCCATCTCAGATGTAACTACTGGGAAGAAACGAAAAAGAGCAATCAAACTTATTATCACTGTCCTGTCCATGTATCTCATCTGTTTTGCACCTAGCAATGTACTGCTTATTGTGCACTATCTGCTTCTCAAAACCTACAGCCAGAGCTATCTGTATGTGTCGTATATAACTGCACTGTGTCTTTCTACTTTGAACAGTTGTATTGATCCGTTTATCTATTACTATATTTCAAAAGATTTCAGAGACAACCTTAAAAATGCTGTTCTTTGCCGAAGTGTGCGAACTACACGGAGGATGCAAGTGTCTCTCTCATCAGGCAGATACCCCAAGAAATCAAATTCTTATTCTTCAAACTCAAATGGGACCACTAAATCAACCTACTGAGTTTAATCCTAGAAAAGTGAACTTTTATTACTACTGGTGAAAGGATGTAAGTGACAAGAATGTTACTTTGCACAAGAGATTCTGAAGAAACATCTCTGCTTTTTAATGACATTGAAGCTTGGATTTCAGAACTGGCAGCTGCTTACCCAGTGTAGAAATAGTAAGCAGATAAATCTTCCCACTAGACTGGAAAAATTAAAAAAAAATGACATTTCAGAATGCTTTGCAAAAATGCTGCTGATCTGGAAGTGAGTTGTAGTTAAAGATATTTTTGTTTAACACTGAAGCTGTTAAAAAGCAGAATGTCACTTGAATGTTATGTAACATTGCTGGTATATTTAATTGACAGAAATCTCTATTGTTTGGTTTTAACTGTAATGTATTAAACAGCTGAACAGATTGTTTATGTAGGACCTTGCTTTGTGTACTAGCTTACACTGAACATTATTTGAAACCATAGAGATGAGAAGGAGAATCTATTTCAACATTTTGGTGTAGACTGTCTTTAGTATAATGTAATTTTATATTGTTTTCCAAGTTACCATGCTGTAAATACGAACATGACAGAAGCCTGTAAGGTTATCCTATTGAGTTGACAAGCTCAACTTGTTATCAGCTAGCACTGAGATAAAATGTTAGTGGGGATCAGACACTGTTACTTAATGCTTGCCAGTACATGTTCTTAAATGGGGCTATTTAACAAAGTTTTGATAAATAGCTGATTTTTATATAATGTGCCTTGTATTTTTTTAAGATTTTAGGTATCTTAAGATTTTTAGGTATCATAAGACTTTTTTTTTTTTCTTTTTAGTAACACATTTGAGTTGGGTGCTTTCTTTTATGCTTTTACACGCTGTTCAAAATGCTGAGTAGTTCAACTTGCCTGGCTTCAGGTAACGAAGATACTGTACCTAACAGTGAATTGGAAATCTTGACAACTGTAACTTGTAATGTGTAAATGGGTTAGATAAAATTTACCTAATGATGCATTTCATTAAAGCAAAAGTGTTCCCTTGTCTTATTAGCAGATAACTAAAACCAAATGGTTCAGAGCTGTGGGAGAATAATAAGGTACCGACAAACACACTAACAAGGTAACTTCAGCCCTGGTGGATTTCTGAAATATCTTAAGTCCTCTTCCCTCTCCCAGAATATTTACCACTCAGAATATGGAACCACATTTACTTTTAATCTGAAAAGCCTGATGGTCATATGTTAGGTGGTAGGATTTAAATACATTTTTTTCAAATCATGCAGTCCTGGTATGTTTCACCAAGTTATACAATGATCCAGATGACCTATCTGAGACTTAGGTGTAGCTGGGTCCCTACAAACAAGCAAGTGGAAAGGCCCTCAGTCTAAAAAATTACTCTGGGACAGCTGGTATATGGATAGGAAATTATCACCATTTCAAATATGGAGAGTAAGGAAGGGGGTGGATTGAACTGTAGCAAGAATGAGCAGTGTGCTAATCTGTTCTTTCACTTGTCTTGTTTTTGATTTCTATGTTCTTTCCCTGTTTCAGTAACTTAACGTTTTTTTTCCCCATACATAATAAAGACTAAGAGGTTTATTTAATGCATTTGATCTCTCATTTCAAGGATTAACTAAGCTCTAGTTCTCCTTTTATCTGCTGCAGTCTTGTCTACTAACCCTTTGGAGGTGCTTAGCTGAAAGTATGATATTTTGTAGTGGTATTTCAGTGGTCCAAGTTAAAGTAGCAATGTGTATTAAAACATCTAATTTACAGCTCTTTATATGATGGGGAACACAAATCCTTCTTGGGCATAAATAGTTTGCTCTTCCTGTTTACTGACAAAAATGCAAGGGAATAATTGCTTATTTATAACTGAACTGAAGAGGTAATGCAGCATCCTTACTAGAAAATAACTGTAAGAGGCCATAGCTCACTGGAAAGATGTGGGAAGGGGATTGTGCCATCTTCACAAACTGCTGTCTGATTCTTCCATTAGCTTGTGTATGATAAAAAGAATATGAGAATGTCCTTTATCTTGCTGAACAGCCTAGTGTGCTTCCTGCTCTTTATACGGTAGTGAATAACAGAAGAAGGGTATCCAGTTCGTGGTGATTACAGCACTACCTGCATTCTGCCAGGAGTCCAAGGGTTACAGGTTATGTGTTGTAAAGATGATGAATTGTCTGTGTGTGTCTCTATAATGCCACAAAGATATCACTCATGATTCATGGTTGACTGTTAAGTTGCTGAAAAATAATATGCTTAATATAGCCAGTCTTTTGGGGGACAAGATTTATTTCTTGTTATTTAATCAGAAGTATACCAGATAATGCTCTCATATATACAACTATCACTCTTTATCTTTCCCATCATCGACGGGATCAGAGTTGGGGACTATCAAACGATCAATCAGACCACTTCACTGAAGCTCATACAAAGGGGAGTGCTGATTCTCTTGACCACTTTTCCTTTCTAGCCTTCATCTGTATAGACAAAGCAGGTTGCAGGGAAGACTCTTTCATCTCTTACCTGCAGCAACAGTGAAGGACTGCCAATGACACACATAAGAGTTAGATGTTACTCCAGTGTTGTTGAAAGCTTTTTGAGAAAAAGTTCTAATTAACAGGAATTATTTATTTTTAAATGACTTGGTACTGTGTGACAAACTTTGGAGAACACTGTTCAAGGAGCTCACAGTCATCTAAGTGAAGCTTACTCCTTCAAACTGCTTACTGGGAGCTGAAAAGATCTCTTAAGTCTAGGGAATTTTTGTTATAATAGAGACTACTAATGTCTTTTTTGCTTTTCCTCTGCTGTTTTAGTGATACCATCTGGCTTCTTGCCTTTGGGGAGAGTAGGGAGGGACATCCTCTGCATCTAATTGTTGTGTAGTTAGGAGGGGAAGAGCAGTGGTACGCAGGGTTTAATCAAGCATCAAATTGCTTTTATGATCTGTGTCTTCTAGATATATGATGATGCAAGTTTGTGCTGCAACCTAAGTGCAGTGAAGACTAAACTAATTGCAGAACTTGTGTAAGAATTGTTTTGCTTTGATCTTTTATTTGTCCTTGAAACAAGGGCTTCCCAACAAATCGTGGGAAATTTTTCCCATCTGTAGATGCATTGCAAATTCTCATCCTGAATTTGGTATGAATTATTTTGCTTCAATTAGCAGAGCACCTTAGACCAAGTGGGTTGTGCATTCAATTTGAATCAATTCCTTGAATTGACAATTGTGTGCTTGTGCAGCCAGGTACCAATGGGGAAAGAACGTATAGCCCAAGAGGAGCTGGCTGCTTATCCTCTTTTGGAACTGCACCCTCAGGCAGGATTGATGGGTATAAAGGTGGTCATCTTCAGCTAACAATAAATATATTCCTGAGCAGTGAAAGCTCTGGGGTGTTGAAAATCGGTGTAATTTATGTGCACAGTGTCATGATTCCAGAAACAGCTGAAGTATATGCTGCAGCTAAGAGAGGTAGACTAGTCTTTCCCCTACCCTGACTGTTTGATCACACTGTTCCCTCATACTGTCACAAGCATGTGTGACCTTGGAGTGGATTGGAACCATTCTAGGTTAAAGTTAAACTAGGAGGGAGGAAAGTTTACTTTTGACTTGGAACAGCATTTGTCTGGTTTGCTGTATGAACTCATGGCTCAGCACAAGGGAGAGGGTCAGACTGCATCTTTCACCACCAATACTGGCTTGCACTGTGGAACTACAAGGCAAGTTGAGGCACAGGAGCTGAGAAACCTCTGCCTAACCTCCTAAACAGCAGTGAGCAAGCCTCCACCTATGACCATAGGAATGGCTCTGCTGGCTCAGACTGAGCGTCCATCCAGCTCGGCCAGGGTAATCTGCTCACCCTTGCTTTTGGAGGTCAACAAGACAGCAAGGTGTCAAGGGAGATGTCAGAAACCAGTAGGAATGCTGCACAGGGCACTTGGCTGATGTATCAGATGCCCAGAGGATGTGGGCAGGGAAGTTTGTTGCTTTGCACCATGTGAGTGCTGTGCTATGGGACTGCTGAAATGTGCTCTGAAGTTCAGGAAAAAAGGAGACAAATGAAGGCTGGGGGACCTAAGGTCATTGGTATCTGTGAGGAAAGTTGCTGCTGAGAAGGACTAATCAGTAACTCAAATAGCATGTGTAACAGCATCAAAATGAAGTTACAGGCAGCTACCTGGGGAGGAGGAAAATAGTGCAGGCATGTATCACATCCCCCACAGTACACCCCCAACAACCGTTTTCAACATGAATTACTTGAAGTCTGATTTGACTGGTCTAATTAGTAATACCTGTTGGTTGTCTCACCGTGAAAACCAACCTTACTTTATTTGCTTTGAACCAGGATCCACTATCCTCATTTGGTGGCCCCTGGTTCTTAAAGGAGAGGAAGTGAATGAGTGCCTTACTGTCTTGTCCAGCCACTGGCAATTTTGTAGGCCATTATTGCCTCTCTCTCAGCTACTTTACAGGTTAAGGAGTCCTAAGCTAATTCAGTCCTTCCAGTACAGCCACTATTTAATGTGTGATTCCTGTTTCCTTTCTCTGAGACCTTCCCATTCCCATACATGGTCACCAAGCTACACACAGTATTCAAGCCATGGCTAGTACAGTGATGACTTCTGTTTTGCTCCCTGTTACTTTCCCAATAGCTCCTAACATTAAATTTTATTTTATTTTTTCCTGTTCCTGAGCAGAGTTGATGTTTTCATGCAGCTGCTTATTAACTACATCTCCCTCGTGAATGGTGACAGTAATTTTTGCAAGCCAGGTTCTGTATATCATCTAGGATGTTTTTCCCTCATGAACCTCACTTTACAGTTGTTTATACCCTATTTATTCACCAGTTCATTGCTCAGTCAGTCTTACAAGGTTCTTCTGCAATTATTTGCAGTCTAAGTACTTACTGTCTTGACTACCTTTGTGTTATCAGCAAACTTGTTCCTCACTGCTCAACCCTCTTTAGAGCATTTATGAATATACAGAACAGTACAGGTCCAGCACCACACTGTTGAGTAACTGGCATTGTGAAAACTTGATAATTTTTCTGCTACCCTGTATCTCTTTTCTTGTAATCAGTTATTTTTCCACAAAAGGACCTTCCCTTTTATTCTGTGACTGCCTAATTTTCTTTAAAAGCCTTTGATGAGGAATTTTGCCAAAAGCCTTTTGGAAATCCAGGTAGACTGGACCACGGAATCACCCTCATCTCCACGTGTGTCTGGCCTTTTCCAGGAACTCCACAAGGTTGTTGAGGCCAGACTTTTCATTACAAAAGCCATGGTGACTTTTCCCAGAAGGGTCCAGAAGTTCCTTACTGATATCCCTTAGGCTCTTCACTAATTGCTTAGAACAGATATTGGGGTCATGGGACCATATTTCCCTAGACACCTTAGAACCTTCTTTTAATTGTTGATTACAGCATTGGGTCCCAGTATTCAGTATCATTTTGGCAAGA